TCCCGATTTGTTTTGCTATGCGTTAAAGTTTAAAAAAAATTGAACAGTTGTGATTTTAAAAATTGAGTTGAGTTCACTTCTAAATTGAGTCAAACTTCATGTTAAAAATTTTTTTTGAAACACGAAAATCTTGTCTATTAATTACATTTTCAATATTTTAAAATTTATAACACGTTTTGAAACTACCGTGAATAGTAAAGCTTTATAATTGTCTGAAAATTTTGTTTTTTTTTAAATAAAATTTTAAATCCCAAAAAGGACCACGTTTGAAAAACCTGCTGATAACATTATGATTTTTTTTATTATTTTTCTTTTATTTCAATTCAAACCACGAATATTTTTATAGCATTGTCTATACTATGCTTATAAAAGTAACAAAATAAAAACCACAGTCTCTGAAATACGTTACAAACATATATTCTGATGGGTAAAAGTCCATCTCTTCCGGCTTTACCCTACGAAGCGTGATTGGGTGTGGTGGAATTTGCAAAAGTTCATACTCGCAATTTAAATGAATTGTACTTTCGCTTATCCGAAGTCTGCTCTAGAATTGGGTATTTTAATAAATAATTGCTTTTACTTTTAGGTTTTTAGGTGCAAACACCCGAGTTATTGTAATTTTACAGTTAAAGTGAATAATAGAAAACTACTCTGTGAATCGGAACATGCAAATAAACTACTCTTGCTCAKTGTCAAGGATAAACAGATGCAAAATCTAAACACTGTATTTTATTATTGTGAGATTTCGTGATGTTTGATTCAAGCCTTGACGATAAGCTAGACCCTSGATTTTTCTTATCAATAAATAAGAAAATTTTAATAAATACGACAAAAATGAATTATTTTGTTTGCAAACAAATGCATCCGGGATTTTTGCTGATTAAGCATTCGAAAATTTAGGGTTATTGTTCATTATTAAGGGGCCACGCTTCAAGAACTTGTRAATATTCATTTCTTAGGTGAGGTAACACCGACATCCTTCATAAGTTTAACAATAGATTTTTTTCGAGTTAAAACAAGTGCGTGTCATTTAATTATGTCTCGAGATGGTAAATTATAGGGCATTAGTACGTTTTGACAAGCAAGGAGATTCAAATATGCAGGGTGTTTTCTTAAAATTGCGAAAAATCACAACCACATGTTCTACATAAAAAATAACACTAATTTTTCAAATAAACGATAGTCCTAGAAGGCTTCGTTACGGATATACAGGATGATAAAATTTATAAATTGAGTTGTTTTTGTCGTAATATGAGGAAAACACCTTGTATTGTTCAAGCGTGGACTCGAAACCATAGCTTTAACTAAATATTCTCCCAGTATTTTTGTTTTTTTAATGAGGACAAAATAACTTTCTTGATTTTAATTTCACGTTTTGTTTTTGTTTTTTTAATACTTACAGTGTTGACAGATCCAAGGTAGATAGTCGAGATTGCAACCTACGTCATTCCATAGCCACCCGCGACCGCCATCGAGGACTACGCAGTTTTGTTCACCGTTATAATTGTTTGGTTGGTCCTTTCCCCACGCCGGCCTTTGGACCAAGTCGCCTTTAAAAATGTGAAAAAAAAATAAAAAATGGTTACTTTAATTACAAGTAGCACAAATTTTAAACAGTTATGTTTAAACACAACATATTTAGCTTCTTCGAAACAAAGAATACTTATTTGGAAACAAAACCACTGAAACAAGCAATAAAATCCTAACAATGTACTACTTGAAAACTTCAATAAACATAAAATTATTTCAGTCAAATTTGTGTTGCAAAACTTGTGGATATTTTGTGTACAGTGTAATTCGAGTAAGATGACGACCTTGACCCACCTTAAAACACGATATTATAACAGCAGGAAATTAGACAAAAAATTCTCTAATAATAATTTAAATACAATAAAATACTGGGTTTTACTAGATTTATTGTCTTACTTGAATCACCCTGTAACGTTCTTAATAAATTTAAGTGTGAATAATTTTTTTTGAGTAGCAGTTTCAAAAGTTTATAAAAATATTTTGCAACGTTTTACACTTTAATAGTTATTTATTCGACGAATTTGAGTGTAAATCGGACTCTTTATTTGACCGAGTGAATTTTTAAACCACGAGTGTAACGAGTGGTTTACCATCCACGAGGTGGAATAAAGCGTCCGATTTACACTCAAACGAGTGGAATACAACATTTTATTCTTCGAATTAGAGTCAACAAGGCTTAAACTTGCTTTAAATCTGTTAAAAATAATTTGACGTTTTGTATTGAGAAATGCCAAACAGTTGTCAAAACTTCCTTACACGGGAGAAAAACCGTAAATTTTGACAATGTCGAAGAATAAAAAAATAAAAAACGACCTTCAAGCATTTCATTCAATTAAATTAGTTTTTTTTTTAATTTCAAATAACTTTTTCGTTTATTATTTGATCTTGTAGCTTTTACTAAAATTACCCAAGTTTATGTTTAGTTGTCAATTAAAATAGTCCAACTAACTATTAATTTTTGTAAAAGTATTTCGCAAAAATATTTGCTACACTACTACTGCTATAAAAAAACTGATTTTTTTCGAATAATTTTTCTGTCACAAAAGTATTTTAAATTAAATATTTGCTTCTCTTGTTAATAAAAAGCAGAAAAGAAAAATGATATCTTCTAATATGTTTAATATTTTCTTGTTTTCTCTTATTTCTCACTTTTTTCGTCAAAAAATAAAGATAAACTATAAGTTATTCTATTTTATATTAAAATAAAATCCTCCAAACTCATCAACTTACTTAAATCATTCTATACTTAAATTTGTGAAATTTAAGTTTAACTGTGACATTTTTTTGGTTTTTAATAAGTTTTTTGTTATCAACATAAAAATTAACAAATCCATCTCGTTGTCAATTAAAATGCTCGTCTTACGTGAAGTTTGAATAATTTTTTTTTAAATTTCTCTAAAAGTTTTGTTTATTTTCTCTAATAATTTAAACAATTAATGTTTTTTTTCTCATTTCTGACTTCCATATTAATTCATTAAAAATCAATGTTCAAGTAAGTTTTACAAAAAAAAGAGTTATGAAAGAAAATCTCTCAAACTCATCGTCTTACTTGAATGACCCTGTACGTTTTTCAAAATGTTTTTTAGAAACTGTTTTTTAATGTTTGTAAACATATTTTGCAACGTTTTACACTTAAAAAAAATTAAAATACGTCATTCAAGTATTTCATTCAATTAAATTAGTTTTTTTTTAATTCCAAATGACTTTCTGTTTATTATTTGATCATGTTGGGTTGTCAGTTAAAATGACCAAGTTTGTCGTCATTACTATGTAATTTTAAATTCTTGGAGAAGTATTTCGCAAAGAGTTTACTTACTTTACTTGAATCTACCTGTATGGAATTGGAGTTTGAAAAACTTTTTTTTTTAGTTTTTCCGAAAATATTTCAAAATTGTATATTCTTTTAAAAAGTACTGCTTTTTTTCTTCTCTAATAATATAAACATGTTGCAATAACTAGATATTTTTTGTATTTTTTCACTCATTTCTTACTTACAAATTAAATCGTTTAAGCAAGTTTTACAAAAAAAAAGTGCAATCAAGGTGAATCCTTCAAACGTCTCATCTTACTTGAATCATCCTGTACATACAATTTTGTGAAAAATCTAGTAGTAGTCTTGGAGTATTTAAAATCCATTCACTGATGTTTGTAGCACAAGAATCGAAAAAGTGAAACACTAAGAGGTCAATCCGTGATTCACTTTCCCATCACTAAATAAAAAAACGAGCAAATGATTTGAAAAAAGCTATAATCAGGTAAAATTTAATCATGCGAAAGTTCAAATCATTTTATTGYAAAATCTAAGATTTCTATCTACTAACTAGTCCTTGATTTATTCAACCTATTTTATTTCGCYTGATTTCCCCTCCAAAAAAAAAAAAAAAACTATTTCCATTTTTTGAAATATTTGACCAACAATAACAGTGTGGATATTTTCATAACCACAACCTTGAAACACTCATTTGAAAATATTCCTCTCATTCTCACACAATTTCGACTCACCATTAACCCATTTCCAGACCCTCGACGTGATTCCTGGCTCTTTTTGGGCACCAATCCAAACCAGTTGTGTCTTCAACATCGGTTTCCGCCTCTCGAGTTCCGCATAAAGAAACGTCGTTGCAGCTGCACTCATACCATGAACCAAATCGCCGTTATGACTCTTGCAGTAATTGCGCGCTTCCTGGAACGACCCTCCGCGACTCACCCCAAATTCGTAGCAAGTCCGGGCGAAAGACGCCAATTGGATGTCTTCGGGGGCACCGCGCGGGGCGCATCGATCCACCGAAAACTCTACAAAAAAAATACATTTCTTCGATTCTTTGACGCGGAGCACTAGTGCAGAAAATAACTCTTCGAAAATTGATCTTTTAACAAACGGTTGTTTTTTTTCTCTCGCAACAATAATGAGAATCAAGAATTGTTGTGAAGGTGTCAAGTCGTTACTAATTTAACAACAACAGAATATTAGATTAATTAAAATTCTGATAACGAAATTAAATTGAAAGCGAAAGCTTTGAAAGTGAACTGAGCAACAAGAATTCAAATTTGGAACCATGACCGTGTCCAAAATAAAAACCAACAGATGGTTTGTTTTGGTAAGCTTAGCGACTAAAAACTCAAGAAATTCGTAATTTTTTTATGCTTGACCCAATAACCTTTTATGCACTTTTTTGAGTTTTTAGAACCTCTAGAAATGTAAAGAACGTTGTATGAATCAATTTTAAAAATACAAATTTTTTTGATTTTTGTTTTCACAAAAAAAAGCCGAAGCCAGAGTCAAGTTTTCTTGTAATTGTACTATTGCGGACAAAACACTTTAGTCATCATTTTCCTGTCACTTCTAAAAAAAGTCATGTAAACCAAGAATTAACGTTGATGACATTTCAAATTTTTAACTTTTCTCCTGTCGAAAATATAGCACCTTCCACCATTCAAAAATTTAGAATCGTCTCTCTTGCTTCTGGGAGATATTCAATTAAAAAAAATCTGATTTATTTTTAAAACAGTGATTGGGTTGAAGCACATGCAAATAATGCAAAATAATATTATAGCATGCTTTATTTATTATTTATTTCAATTTTCAAGAATTATTTGATGAAATTTGAACATGCCAGCTGTACCTAAGTACGTTTGATAAAATAAAAAATATTGGATTGGTACTAAACCTCAAGCAAAGGTAAAAAAATAGCAAAGAGCGCCGAGCATTCTGTCAACAAGACAAACATGAATCTTTTCTGGATTAAAAAAACATCGTGCTACAAAAGACAGTTGAGGAGATTAAAAAAGTGTCAAATTTACTGGATTAAAAAATTTCTAGACATGCAAAAAACATTAATTTTTTTTAAATGCTTAAATTAAAAAAATGTCCATCTAGATTTTTCAAAACATCGTGCTACAAAAGACAGTTACTGGATTAAAAAAATTCTAGACTTGCAAAAAAACATTTAAAAATTTCTTAAAGAAATGCTTAGATTAAAAAATAATAATAAATTGCTAATAAAGTCAAAAATATCCAAAATATGATTTCAACTTTTAAACTACTGCAAATTATACACCAATCGGCTCTCCGAAACATTTTACATACGAATAGTGTAAAATATTAATCGTTTAAAAAAATGTTTAGCCAAATTTAAGAAAATAAAATTTTTGCTCTAGTTCTTTTATTTCTTACTTAAAAATTATTTATTCGACCTGAAATTAATGCCCTTTGATAGATTTTTTATGTTAATTCCGATGATGTTAAATATTTTGCTATTTGAATAAATACCCGAACATCAAAAAAATATATATATAACCTTCTGGTTGAGATTACGAAATTTCCGGTAATTTCAAGTAATTTTTTGTTGAGAGATGTAATTATTGGATTATTTAGCACCTCACAATGCATAAAATCATGATAAGTTAATTGAGAAAGATACGAACCATCCGTTGTGAAAACCTCCACTTCRCAAAGCGACAATGATCCTTCAACTCCTACCAACTGAAGAAAAACATATTGTCCTGTTAAAACTCGTGCACAGGTGAATGTCTTCGTTACGCCTTCGTCTGGAAAAAATACTCATTTTGTTGTTTTGATGCATAAATAAATAATAAAAGATCCACAAGCGGAATAATTTGCTTTCATAACATTTTTGTCACAACTTTCCAATTTTTACGCTTATTGGTTTCATCCTCTTTAGAACTGTCGAAAGAGGAAAAGAAATTTCACTATCCGCGATTATTTTTTCATTTTTTCTTCATCTCTGAGCAATTAGCAAATAGATTTTGTTGATTTGATCGATTATTCACGTTCTGAAATAATTAAGTTTTAAAATCGTTAAAATTTAACAGTCGTTAAGCAAAAGTTGAAAGTGGTAGCATGTGAGGCTCATTTAAATTCGTTTAATTACTTCACTTTCATATGCCAACAATAGGTGCGACAATATACTGAGTGTGTCAAAAAATCAAAGCAAATTTCATAATAACCCATGTGAAAACACGAATTTTCGCACGAAAAATGCGATTTCTAGTAGTAAAAACATCTAGGTTATTCGATGAAGAAATTTCCCACAGGAAAAAAATCGCTCTTATCGATAATTCAATACCTATTGTTCCCGGAAACCAGGCACATAGAGGGTTTCGCTGCAGGTCGGTGCTGCTGTTTCCGACACGGATTTCCAAGTCTTGGAGGGGTTGATGGCCACAACAACCCCTAGTGGTGACACGCACCACCTTGACGGAGTAGGGTTGCAACAAATCCACGTGCCACCACGGGCTGGCTTCCTTCTGGGTCTCGGAGCAGCGTTTTCCGTCGTGTTCGGTGCTTTTTTCGCCGTCGTTGGCGTTCAAGGGGCTGCCACCACGGACAGTGGTCGATTGGTTGGCGGGTTTGCGATAAGCGATGTTGGTGCCTGGGAGATAAAGTATGAATGGCCTTCGAAAAGATGAACAAATTCAAGGCGATTATGAGATTTGATGTTTCACATGATTTTATACACACAATGGCCAATAAATCAAATATGGAAAAGGAAGAAATCTGAAATTTGTTTCATTTAATTATTATTTGTGGCTCGCTTCCAATCAGATTTATTTCAAAATTACATAATTTCAATCAAAAACCGGGATTATGTAATCAGTTTTCAGCATTTCTACTTTTAAACTCATGATTGTTATCAAAAACTTGTTTTTTCGTAAACTAAAGTAAAGATAACTATAGTATAACCTCGATTATCCGAAATCATTTTCGCGTTCACGCATTGGATCTTTTTAACATCCAATAAAATGTGTAACTTTTGTTTGAATTAAAAGAAATGTTACTCTTTGTTTTATAGACTGAAATGTATTTATTTTCAGTTTTTCACTTTTCTTTTTTATTGATACAATCATAATATATCTCTTTCTATTAAAATACAAATTATCACATCAAAAACTCGCCTTTACTTAAATTTTCGATCAAAAGTAAGAAAAGTTAAAAAAGAATAAAAGTTTAAAATTTCTATGCAAAATGTACAGTGCGATCAAAAAGTCGTTCTATCAAGTAGGCGTATTACTTGAGGACGTATGTCGCCATGGCAGTTCGTATGTCAGATGTCTGATAATTATTTTATAATAATTAAAATATTGATCTAAGCAAATGGAATTATTCTATGAAATGTCTCAAAACATCCTAAAATGAGATGCTATTGGTGTTTATTTATACAAATCGTTCACTACGATTTCCTGTCATAAAAATATTTTGACATTTCTCATTTGTCATTGTGACATTTGATATTCCGCAAACACACGTTTTAAAAATTTCTAGGCTTGCATTATAGACAGACTTTTTGATCGCACTGTAGTATACTGTTTTACGAATTTTTTTGATATTTTTTTGTTTTTGAGTTCCACAAAATTTTTAACTCAAATAGCAATAATACATTACAAAACGTTTTTTTTTACAAAGGCTATAATCTCAGAATTACAGCTAAACATTACCTACATTTTATTCAGTTTTTATAAAAAAAAATATCATATTAGTTGCCATTTTGAAAAAAAAATCGCATTACTAAAAAAGAAAACAACGATCACACTTTTTTCTAGCACTTCAATTTTCATTAATTATTATTTTTTGAAAGCAAATGATTAAAAAAAAACAGCTTGGTGCCAGTTTTAGAGAAACTGAGATAAACTTGTTATTTCATTATGAAACTAGCACAAAAACATCAAGGCTAATCATCTTACTTGAATCGCCCTATATATTTTTATAAATTTTGAGTTTAAATAACAAATTTTTCAGTAATTGTTTTTTAATTTTTAAAAAATAATTTGCACAACTTTCGTTTATTTTACAATAAAAWATTTCAACTTTTTGTTGATTAATTAAAGCTAAAATGTGGAAAAGTGTATGTATTTATTAATGATCCAATCCATTTTTCCTTTCAATTATAATTTTCCATGCTTTATGATTTCAGAAAATTTCAGCACATTTACATTAAATGGGTGATTTTCATCCAAGATTCTATTTTTTTTTATTAAACTGATGTATAAGTAATAGTACTTATATTAAAAAACAAGTTTCATAAAACCAGTCTTGAAGCACGAACTCAAAATTAAAAAACGAGTGGCGTAGCCACGAGTTATTTTAAAAAATGAGTGCTTAAAAATGAAATTTATGAAACGGTTTTTTTAAAACTATTTTTTACTCTTTATGCCGTTTTTAAACAATTTTTTTTTACTTTAATCAATTTAGGGATTGTTGTGACGTTTCGTAATGTCTTAATTTTAAAAGTCAAATTTAATCCAGTCGCCTTTTGACTATTAAGACATCGCACATAATGACGTCGCCTTCTTTAATACGTCTATTAAAGAATCAAAATGGAGACAAATTACAAAAAAATAGATTAATCGATTAAAAAATTATTAAAAAAAAAAAACGAAAATAATTCTTAAATTTTGGCGCCCTCTAACTTAGTACAGAAGTAAGTTAGGTTAAATCGCTTTATTTTCTCAGGTTACTCCCCATTTTTTCGTTACAACCTGTATATAAAATTTTTTATAAAAAAATTAAACACTTGCTTTAGCACAATTTCCTTAATTATTGTTTACTTTCACGCAAAAAATAGTAAAATATCACAATTTCTAAACATTAATTTTTTTTTTTTAATAAACAGTTTATTTCAAACAGGAAACAAGCACAGATGCAATGACTCGCCCAATCTTGGATCATTGTTCTCTATTTAAATTTATTAAAATAACATCTCGTTTCCGGTCCTTCAAACTTACCACAAAATGGCAGTTCGCCGATCCATTTCCCATCCGGCGAACATGAAATTTCCGTGTTTCCAAACGTTTCATATCCCTCGTCGCACTGATATTTCGCCACGGTTCCCGGAGCCAATCCGGGAGAGCTCAGAGAAACGCGAGCATTTAAGGGAATAGCAGGATGTCCACATTTAATTTCTGTAACAAGTAATAACACGTGTCGAGAATTATTCGTGACAGTTTTAAAAATGCAAAAGCTCCATTTCGTTACTGTTATCTATCTAACTGTTTACGTTGATTAAAATTCAACAAAAACGTGGCCAAGATATTTATATGTTATTGCTCTAGATTTTATTAAAGTCGCCGATTTAAACAGTTTCTTATGTAATCGTAGCCAGGAAACAAAAGAAATACTAACAACACTTAATAGATTACAATATGAAGCAAGTGAAATATTATTATGTTGGCAATAAGTCTAGAAAGTTTCAAGAATGTCGGTATTGTAAAATTTTCAATATCACAATAACAAAATCACAGAGAAAGTATTGAAAAAAGTCTAATTGTGAAAAGAAAGTTAATGTGTGAGACAAAATGCACGCAGAGGTGCACTTAATTATCTAAAACAAAGAGTTTCAGGCTCGGATTGAAGGCAATTTTCTTTCTTTGTTGAGCGAATTTCTCCTGAAGCTGAAAACAATCCACTTTTTTATTAAAATCATTGTCCTTGAATACAAAACACACCCATAAACAGAAAATTGTGGGTGTTTATGGGTCACTAAACGGAAAATCTTGCTTACACATTGTACCAAATTAGTGTCATTGTTTATTTAGATCACGTCTGTACTAGATACAGAAATGACACTAGACTGGTTTTCAGATTTTAAAAAAAGTTATTGTAATTAACAAAATGTAGCGGTTTGCACGGTTCACTTTACAATCAATAAATCGTGACAGAATGACACAATTCTTGTCTTGTGTCCTCCCAAGAGGGAATAAAATAACGCTTTATTCCCTCGGGAATAACACATAAGAGTCAAAATACCGATTTTTACTCTTAAAAGAAACTAGAATTGAGTTTTTTAAATGTTTTTTTTTTTCACTCTGAAATTAGTTGTACAAATTTTTGGTATTTAATCGAAAATTGCTTGGAATTATTGAAATTATCTTTGGATTGTTTGGAATTACTGGAATTACTTGTGAATTACTAGAATTATACAGGGTGGCTAAAAAGCTAAATATTTTCAGAACGGTTTAACAGAGCACGTCGAAATTTGGGAAACATTTACTAGTGTTCAAATTCTATCATCTGAGATCTTTTTTAATTTTCTACAATCATTTATTTTCAAAATACAAAAATAACTTGATTTTTTTAATGGCACGTAGGGTTTAATTTAATTATTTTTAAAATAGCATTTTTTTTTTAATTCTGTGATGTAACATATGCCCACCTTTATTTTTATTAAAAAGTAAATAAAATAAAAATTCAAAAATGTAATTCTGGAAAAGTAAAACTAAGTTAACTTCGAAAATTATTATTATTAGCGATCTGCCACTTGCATATTAGTCAAAAATTAAACTTGTGTGCAATATAGAAATTCTCAAGTCCATGGAAATCAATTTAAACATAAAAATTATGTACTTCGTGTTTAAGCTTTTTTTATTTAAAATGTGTTCTTTTTCAGTTAAAATAATAGTTATTTATTCGACGAGTTTGAGTGTAAATCGGCCTCTTTATTTGACCGAGTGGATTTTTAAACCACGAGTGTAACGAGTGGTTTACCATCCACAGGGTGGAATAAAGCGTCCGATTTACACTGAAACGAGTGGAATACAACATTTTATTCTTCGAATTAGAGTCAACAAGGCTTAAACTTGCTTTAAATCTGTTAAAATTAATTTGACGTTTTGTATTGAGAAATGCCAAACAGTTGTCAAATCTTCCTTACACGGGAGAAAAACCGTAAATTTTGACAGTGTCGAAGAATAAATGTTATTTTAACAATTATTATTAATTTTTACTTATTTTTTGGTCAAAGTTCAGGCGACAAAAAGCTGAGGATAGATAAAGACAACATTTCCAACGCTAACAAAATTTTACATTTTTAAAAATTTTATTAGTTCGATAATTTTTTTTAGTTTTGATTAAAATAAGATATGAATGTGTTACATCGCAAAAAATGCTCTCCTTAAAAATATTAAATTTGACCCTTCATGCCATTAAAAAAAAATCAAGTTAGCTTTGTATCCCCAGAGCAAATAGAGATAGAAATTTGATAAACATCTGAGACGATGGAATTTAAATACTTTTAAGCATATAGCAAATTTCAATAAGTTTTGATGAATAGTTTTTATAATATTTAACTGTATCCATATTTTTTAGCGACCCTGTACGTAGATTATTAGAATTTTTTTGGAATTTGCTGTAATTCTTTTTGGAATTGCTGGAATTATTCTTGGAATTATCAGAGTTACTTGAATTAACATATTGATCTTTGAACTTCAAGGACACTTATACAGAGTGCGCCAAAATTCGGCACTTTGACTTTATTTATTTCTATTGGAAGAATTATTTTCAAAGTTTTTTTGCTGCAAGCTATTAGAAGAAGAAACAAGCTGTATTCTAAATTGTAACTCTGTTTAATGTTATTTGTGGCTTTTATTGGCAGAATTTTTGTACCTAAATAAATAAGTATCTCTATTATTGTCCAAAATCGAGGAAATTGGTGTTGTAATTGCCAAGAATGTGCGATTGATTAAACCTTGACTTTTAAATCAATTAAAAGTGTATTATCGGAATAAATCTTGGCGTTTGTCAAGTATCTATAATTATCTGAATAACTGTTAGTAATTAATTAATAATCGTAGTTTAGAAAATTGTTGGATGTTTTCAAGAGCAAGGTGAGAGAAAAATAAGTTTCTCTAGCGGTAAATAATAAATAAACGACTACTAAAACCCACTTCATTGATTGGTTTGCATTTTTGGAATAATTCAATTTAGAAGTGCTAAAACTGATGATTGTTTGAATAAAATAGTGAGAGCAGTAAAAATTGATTTATTTATGCGGTTTTTTTCACTTCCTTCTCAGGTTTTTGACTTAATCTTTGCTTGCTTCCTTATAAAGTCAATTTTCTGTGAGTAGTAAATGACATTCAATTTTTGGTAAGGTGAATGGTGACCACGGCTTAGGTCTTAGCTACAAGGTGATCTGGTTATATGGTGCACTCGAGGGTCACGCTCGGTTGCAAACTGCTTTCTACACCTACAAAACAAGTGGATTTTCTTACAATCATGCAATATTTTTACAGGTTGACAATAGTATATCAAAAAACAAGTGTGGTTTGTAGCTTGTAGCACGAACCACGTAGTGGCGAGTGCTTCAACGCACTAGTATCTAACCTAAAAACAATTTTCTATGCAAACTTGATGATATGTAAGTGATTTAGTAATTTATCTCTTCTCCACCTTCCTTAAGAATAGTTTTTTTTAGTTTTTAAATTTCATGCTATGAGAAAAAACTATTTATAAAACTAGTTTTTTATTCAATCACTTAAATTAGTTCTAGCTTCTGATTTAAGAAATCTGATAAATGTCATCCTAAAAAAGAACAAAAGAATTGGAAGCATTAGTGGCCATTCCCACGTTTAAATCACTGATGAAACCAAGCTGAGATCATTTATTAATCTTGTTTATCTCTCTTTGGGAATAAAAACGTGACCAAAAACTCAATTTTTAACAAATCACGATCTTATTTTTATGTATTTTAATTTTATTTATGCAGAATGGAAAGTTAATAAAGCCACCAAGAAGACACAATTGATTCAGTTCGCTTGTTATTTTAATTCGTTTCAATTTAACACTTTCACTGTAATTGAAAATGAACAGATTGCTGCATTTGTCRAACCTAATAAAAATGGTAACATACATGACTAGCAAGTAAACAACATCTTAGAGCAATTTTATTAAGTAACAGTTGCATTATTGGCTTTAGCTGCATTACATAACCAACAAATGTTGAATAAATTAATTTTCCTTTCCTTTTTATTATTCTCGTATTGTCTACGCATATAAAAAGTGGATTTCCGGATCTGAAAATTTAGCCTTGATCTGTGTTATTTTATTAAGAAGTTGGAAAAGCTTCCGGTTAGAAAAGAGGTAAATGAAACGCTCCACAAGAAMCATAATTATACCACAGATTGAGCTGCATATCTAATCAAGTTTTTAACGTTACATTTTTCTACGATTTGTACCTAATACCTACTTGGGGATTCAGTTACACTGACCTATGGAGAAAGTGGAGAAAGGAATTTAAATAAAATGCCTGATTTATCGAAAAGCATCGGTTTTTGATTAGTGTGAAATTGAGTTCTTAGACCGAAATTCGTATTTCTTTCCGATAAAGAATAAAGTGACGCTTTTTTCCCTCGGAAAAAAAATAAATCAAATTTTTACCCTCAAAATAAACTGAAATTTAATAAATTGATTTTGAACGTTTTTTGACATACGCAAACACCTTAATTCTGATTTTAATTAATAAAATAAAAATTCGTATTTTAACAAGTTTACCATTTTCTTATGTATTAATTTTGTCAGTTGAGAGAAAAGTTTTGTATGCATCCCTGGAAAAACATCGAAAATCTTTCGATTACCTGAATTCTCGAGATCAAAATAGTTGTTTATTTCTTTGATACACAAATATCTATTTTTTCTAAGTTAATTTATTGTTTCCTTCATTGCCCCACTTGTGACTCAACTGGTAAAAATATATTTTATTAATGTTTTTCAGCCAATTAAAAGTTGGAAGTAATTGATACCTTGGATTTTTAATTAAGTGGAGGAGGATATTAAAATTTGTCTAAATATAACCGTGTTTTTGATTTTAAAGTGAGATAAATTATGTAACAAAGCTTGAACAAAAATGTGAAAGGCAGTGCAACAACGTAAAAATAAATGTAGCAAAAAATTACCAGATTTGCTTCTATAGTAATYATAAATAACTAATTAATTTAACATTTTCTAAATGTTTATGGTTAAAAAAATAGAGTTTTGCAAATTCAGTGTTTGAAACAAAGCTTGAAGAAAATCACGACTACACTTAACAGTTTTCCAGTCACTGAATCGAATAATTTGTTGATAAATCTAGATTATTGGCATGTACATATCTACTCGAATCTTCACACTAGTGGAATCTTTAATAGCACAAGTAAAAGCCATTTTCAAAATTTTCCAAAATAATCACATTTCTAATTTGTATTTTTTTTTATTCTATTTGTTCTAGATATGTAGTAATTTTACAATTTAATTAAATGTTCATGTTTCATGGTGAAAATAATAAAACAAAATTGTTTACCAAGAGCACATTTCTTCTTTTTGAAGTACTGGCAAAACGTAATTATGTAGTTATACATATGGATAACAAAATAGAAAAAAAAATGTAAATTTTATTTCACTCTATATTTATTTGAACCATACGGTATAATTTTAACATAAGGTAAGTCCGGGAGAGATGAACTAAATTGAGTCATATTTCGTGTTTAAAAATCATTTTGAAGCACGGAAACCTTGTCTATTAATTAAATAATGAATTAAATTATCAAAATTTTAAAATTTACAACACGTAATTCCTCTTTTAAATCTACATAATTGTCTAAAAACTTAGAATTTTTTTATGTACCACATTTTGAAAAACTTGCTCTAAAATTAAAACATTTAAGTATTTCAATTTAAACCACAAATGATTTTTCTTAAATTACGAAATATAAACTTCTTATAATATGAAACAGAAATTCTACCTCCAAGTTATTTTTTTTATTTAATAAATACAAGGCCATTTTTGTAAAATAGTGTTTTTTAAATTGAAATAATTTTGTGGTTTTTATTATTTTTTACTCTGTAAATAAGTACCTGATTTTTTACAATGATTTTGTATTTCTTATTAATTCAAAATTTAAATTGTGTTACAAAAGTTGCACCTCCAGCTTAAAAAGTTTGTTTTCGTTTAAGATAATGTCTATTTTTACAAAAATTATTTTAAATTAATATTATTTAATCCGAAATTTAATTATTTGCAAAATTTGAAAAATCACTACTTTTTCAGTCTTTCTTGATTTAAAATTTTATAAATTTTTATAAATATTTCAATTTTTAGGTTCTTTTTCAGGAGACCCATTGTTGAAAAAGTTTATTTTCATTTAAAACAAAGAAGCAATTTTTTTAATAAACGCACTTTTGTTTAAATTTGAATATGGTGTACTTGAAACAAAGATCAAAGAATTATGAGATCACAATCTGATTTAGTTCTAATACAAATTCAATAAACTTGGCGCCTACTTAAAAATCAGTGGGTGTGACGACTTAGACTAAAACAATACAAATTTTCCTTAAGAACAATAAAAAATATTTTCCTCAGCAAATTAAATTACAAAAGCCAGTGTAATCCTCATGCATGGTTCCTTAAACATATTAAGATATCATCACCACACTGTTCACCTTGAACCACCAACAGTTTTCTAAACTTTTTTCAAAATTTTAACCMATACTTTTCGTTCCGCACGAAAGCCACAAAATTACACAATCATCCTTACAAAATCCAACTTTTTGACATTTAATCCAGATGGTTTGTGTTTATATTAAACTTTACAAGACTTTCACTAGCCAACGTGGATAACAGACATGAAAATACAATATTTTTGCACTTGTGGGTTAACGTGTCGTTTCAATTAAGCACATAGGAGATAAATTTATACATAATGAAGACCTCAATTCAAAACCCACATAAACAAACAATTCGAGTTTTTAACTGGAGACTTCAACGCTCTCATAGAATACACAATTTTATTATTTTTAAATACCTTGACAGTTCCTGAAGCCCAATAATCCAAACAAAATCACTAAAACACTAAATTCAAACCTTTGACACTTCATTGACCACATTGCTAAATTCGTTAAATAAACCACAAATTGGTTTCGTGTTAAACATTTCTTGTTTTGGGTGCCATGTATACGCGCTTCAACCGTCGCGACCAATACTGGAATGAAAGTTCAACAGGCGAAGAACACGCTGTTTTGTGCCATTTCAGTTCTTAAGGTAAACTAGACAGGTGATGTGGGGACGATAGTGACGTCATTTTAACAAGTCGGAATCAAACTGTTGATGAGACCAAACGTAGAACGATTAACGGTTCCTTCGTCTGGATAATACACTTATTAACAGTTGAAGAGCTCCAGGCCATAGGTCATCAGGAAAAAGTATATAAAAAGTCCGAGAATTAAGTATCAATTAATTGGATTAAACAACAGGAAAGAAAAAATTGTACACAGCAGATGTTTGAGTGTTGTTTCCAAAGCAATTTTCATTTCTTGTGCTCATTTAAATATCATTTGCCTACATTTGGGTTTCTTGTACTCAGTCATGAGTGAAAAACATAAATCCTGTTATTAGACTTGTATTTGGATAATTATTAAAGTGTGCCGCTTCAGGTTTCAGGTCTATCTTAAATTAAAATTGTTACTTTATCGATACTTCAGTAGGAAGAATCAAAGTTGAATTAATTTAACCAAAAATATCAATTTTTTATTTATTTTTCTTTAACCGATTTTTCTATATAGATTTTTATTTATGAATCTACAGTATGTCCCCGGATTGAGTTTACAAGAGGAAAAAAAAAATTATCTTTGATTTTACGCCAAAACTGCAAAGAGAAAACATTTTTTGCTTTATCTGAAACGAGGAAATCTGTAATTAAAACTTCATTATTCTAACTCAGTAGAAAGAAAAGTTCATTTTTCTCTTGGTTTTGGACTTAGAATAATTTTTTTCTGTTTTTAAGTCCTATTACATTGGCGGTTTTATCATTTTTAACAAGAACTATCATTATTTAATTAATAAATTAATTGACAAAGTGACATATAAATACAACCGCCAATGTGATAGGACTTAAAAAGCAGAGAAAAATTAACTTTTCTTTTCACTGAATTAGAATAAGGAAGTTATAAGTACAGATTTGTTTGTTTAAGGTGAAGCAAAAAATGTTTTTCCTTTGCAGTTTTGGCGTAAAATCAAAGATAAAAAAATTTTCCTCTTATAAACCCAATCCGGGGACATACTGTATAATCTAAAAGCTCAAAACTTTGATTTTCTAAACCATATACAGGGACCGTTTAAAAAGTSGCGCACCAACTTAGTGACACATTGTTGAAAAGCTTGTACAGTTRGAGACAAAATACTTTGGTCGTCAATGTCACTAGAGTGATATTAAATTGTAAAGCATGCTTTAGGACTGTTATTTTTAGCTACTGTCAATCATAGTTGACAAGTTGTATGTATATATTTTTTATAGGAAAATATAATAGCTGTCATTAATTTGAAATTGTCATTCATTTTAACGTTAAAGCTTGAATTACATTAAAGTGTCAAAAAAGTGACGACCAAAGTATTTTGGTTCCAAACTTTCGACTTTCTTCGACATTATAGGTACTTCTTAATTATCATAAAATTTTAATTGAAATTAATTTAGCTACCTAAGTTAAAATTACAGATACCTAAAGTAAAGTAGTTCTCCGTAGTTAAAATATAACAATTATTATGATTTAAAAATTGTTATCAAAGTTGTTCAATATTTTTTATTAAAAAGTGAAAAATGTTATCAAAAAATAATTCCGTTAGTCTCGCAACTATTTTTCAGCCTCCTCGTATAAACTGAAAATAAGTTTTCAAATAACATTTCAAAATTATCTTTTGCTTTTAATCAATTATTTGCAGTCAATTACAAAAATGCAAAATAAACAAATGTTTGCATTTATTTATTTCTATTTAAAGTACATAATTTGTTATACCAGGTGTGAAGAGAAAGTATGTAACCAAACGTTTTTAGGTTAAACTATTTATTTTTTGAAAAAACTAATTGGTAAATAATAAATTACRTGATAAACACGTGTCGTTCCTCAAAAAAAAATGTATTTCTTTATTTTTGAGTTCTGCAAAATTTTTAATGTGTTCAAATGGCGTCCTACTATAAACAACTATAGACATTTTATTCAATTTTTTATAGATTTTTTTATAGTATGTTGACATTTTAAAAAATTGCATAATTCAAAAACAAAACAAAATTTCATTCTCAAACCGCAATCACATTTTTATAGCACTTTAATTTTTATTAAGTAATATTATTTGAAAGGTTAATAAAAAACTCTGTTCCATACTTTTTGTCCTATAATTCAAAAATTAAAAGAAAATATATAGGAATATGATTCTATCTAGGAACCTTACATTGTGAAGTAGGCTATAGGCCATCTGTCGGCAAAACGACGTATTATTACCACTCTTACAGTTTCACCAACCATTGTTTTGAAACTTGAGGAGTTTGTTTTGACGTCTCTCTCCATGTTTTGACGTTTACATAACCTGTATTTCGTGTAATCTTGTTTTTTAATAAATTATTCAAGAAAAATGTTATAGTACAGCTAAATACTTATTTAAAAAAACTTTAATTTCGATTATCGTGTTACCAGTAAGTTTTTTTTTAAATGCATAAAATGGCTCTATTTACGTAAATGTTTTTATCAGTATTAATCCCCTAAAAGATTAACTTTTTGTCATGGAACGGTAAGTGGTCTATTAACATCGAGCACTAATGAATGTAAATGTAAATTTAGCGAAATCCAGGGGGCTTCAGGATCTGCGGAGCCTGAAATCGAGTCGAAAGAGAAAAAACCACCAGAAGAGCCACCCAATCAGCCCCTCAGCCCCAACGCTCTTAAAGTCGCAGCAACTGAATGTTTAAACAGCTGGGTCAATTATTTACAAGTAATGGACTCAAAAATTGTAAAATTAACAATTTTTTTTTTTAATTTTTTTGAATTTTTTCAGGTTTTGAACAGTATGTGTTCCGCAGGTCTGCGCTTATCCCAATCATTACTCACCCTTGCTCAAATGCAGAATGTTCAGTTGGCAACCCTGTGCCAAACCAGTTGGGAGGAACTAACAAAAGCCACAATTTTCGCGAGCAATTCCGTCAAGACTCACATCGCGGCTGCCATGCAAGACATGAGCATCGGGGACACCTTCACCGAGGCCGACGCCCAAAGACAGCAAGACCACAACCAGCAGATCATCACCGAGAACCTCCTCACCTTCATCAACCTCCACTACCAATTCTCCATCGCTGGATGCGAGTGTTTCGGCTCGATGGCGATGTGCCCCTCGTGCCAAGCCACTCCTGGGGGCCTCCACGACCCCGACTGCGGCATGGCAGCCCTGCAGCAGTGCTTTGCCCGACTCTCCGAGTCGCGTTCGCAGACCTCCAGTCCCCATTTCTCCACTCTGGACAGCCCCAAAGCGGGGGAGTTCCCGAAAGCGCAAAGCCCCCTCAGCGCTGAACCGTACCAGGAGTTGCACAGGGGGCCCAGTCCCATCCCGCTTGAGACGATTAGGGGGCCGTTCCCGAATCCGGGACAGCTTTTTACGATGAAAGCCCCGTTTCCGGGGAGGGGGTCCAGGTCACCGTTGCATTTTCCGCTGTTTCCGCTCAGTGGGCAAAGGAGGTGGTCGGAGGCGGCGGCGGCGGAGGTGGTGGGGGATAGTGGGGACGGCACGATGAGAAGGTGGTCCATGCCGTGGGACTGCGGGAGGGTGGAAGCGGGGCCCTGGCAACAGAGGTACTTGCCTTCTAAGTTGGTAGTGCCGACGAGTACTTCACAGGAGAGGAGCAGGAGCACCACTCCAGGTACCCAAACTCCATAAAAACAATTTTTTACTTACCAGAATTGAATTTTTTTACTTCTTGTTGCGCCTGTCAGTTTGAGATCATTGCTGCCAACCTAACAACTGRCAACTTGAAATATCCTACATTCTAACACTGATTATTTTATTTTCTCAAAATTTTGGTTGATATAATCTCACTGATAAACAATTACTTAGTTGTAAAAGCAATACGTAARTAGGTAAAATGAGAGTTAAGTAAAAAGTTRGTTAGTTAGTTTAGAAAAAAATGAAAAAATGTGGTGCAAACAGCATAGGGTTCAGTGTAAACAAAAAATCTTTAATTTTTTACTCACCAGAATATTGAAAATGGCTTTTGTAACAGAATTATTTGAAATTGAAAAATTTTGCTTGTTACTGGGTTTGACAATTTGAGATCAGCGCTACCAACCTAACACTCGATAACTTGAAATACCCTACATTTTAAAAACTGATTTTATTTTTTTCAAAACTTAGGTTCATATAATCTTACTTTAATCACAATAATAAATAATTACTGACTCAGTATTGAGTTATAAAAGCGATACCACAAAGACCACTCTAGATAAAATCATAGTTAAATAAAAAGTTAGCTTAAACTTGAAAAAAGCTCAATTTTTAAACTAAGCAAATTTAATTTTTAACTCACCAGAATGTTGAAAATATCTTTTTTGTAAAAGAATTATTTGAAATAAAAAATTCTGCTTATTGCTGTCAATTTGAGATCAGCTCTGCCAACCTAACACTTGACAACTTGAAATACCCTACTTTTTACAAGGATTTTCAAAATTTTCTTATTTATTCAAAATTTAGGTTTACACAATCTTACTGATAAAGAATACCGACTTAAATATGAAGGCAATACCGCAAATACCACTCTAGATAAAATGTGAGTACGTAAAAATTTAGGTTAGAACTTGAAAAAATGCGGAAAAAACAATTTAAACCCCAATTTAAATAGAAAATGTTTAGTTTTTGACATCAGAATGTTGGAAATGTATCTTTTGGGGCAGAATTATTTGAATTATTACTTGTTACTGTGCTGCCAACTAAGCAACTTGAAATACCCTAAATTTAGATTTTTTTTTAGAGGCGACCCCTCAGCCTGGGACCATAACAAGTGGCGAGGGGCTCGCCGAGGCAATTCAGCTGCTCTCCTGCCGCCCAACTCGCTCCTCAATCCCCCAAACCTCCCTCCCCGGTCATCCTGGGGGCCCCTTCATCCCCCCTTGGGCTGAAACTCACGAAGAAAGAATGCATAGGAGGATGTACCCAGGCCCGGCTTCGCAGCGGTAAAATTACCCAATTGGGCGACTATTTACATGACAAGGGGGCTGTTTTAGGGGCAACTGGCAATCCATCGACGTCCCCCATCCCAGTGGGATGTCAGTGACTGAACACTACGATATTTTTCCAGCAGGGCTTCCATTAACTTCTAGGAAAAGTAGCTCATCAACGGACTCATCCTCTTGTCTTTCGATCCACAGCAGGTCCACAACGAGTTCGTCTGAGAGGGGCTCCGACAGTGCTGCTAGTGGTGGTGTTAGCATTCCCACATTTTCTCCCGGGTTGTATATACATTTTTTTCTACGATTTCAGGACGCAATGAGACTCCATACGAATTTATACTCCATGTGGAGCGGCAGCGAGCATCTCCCCTTTATCAGACTCCCCGAATCTCAGGAACCTCAAGATGACAGCGACACCGACGATCTTCCCACCGAAAAAAGTGGGAAATCGCCGTTTCCGAGACCAACATAACACGTTTCGTGATAAATTTTAGTTCATTCTCAAGGTTAGTGACTATTCACACATTTATTTCAATTTTGGGTGTTTGTCCTCGAAATTATATACAGATTTGTCAACAAGAAATTACCACCTAGGATTTGAATTTTTAGGAAAATTACGTTTTTCATGTTGTTTGTAACTAGAATCTTCAGAAGTAATTTTGAATGCCTAGGGTTGTTGTTGACGGTTGACGTTTGTGACTTTACCTAAATTTTTGACACACCCTAACCAAATTTATGGCAACCTATTCACGAATATCCCTAAATCCTAGGTAGTAATTTAATTTCTTGTTGATACGATAATAAGTTTGATCATCAATCATCCATCTAGGTGTCGTATTTGACGTTTTTCTAGTCCAATCTTTTATATTTGGTGTAAATTAATGTAAGACTTATTTATTTTTTACCAAATGTTTTATTACCTATATTAAAATTTTATACTAGTGCGATTCCCAGGGCGGAAATATCGTTAAAAAACGACCAAAAAGCGATATGAAACAACCGAAAAAAACCTAAAAAATAAGTCTGGGCATAATTTTTTAATTTGAAAAAAGAATTTACAATCTTAACGTTGGCAATCCTGTATATTACATTAGTGGTTGTAAATAAATATTGATTTTCGTGTGATGATCCTCGCGTGACCACAAAATAATGAATTCCATTTTCATTTCACACATTCAACAAGAAAGAGATATTCCAAATTAGGTACAATATTTTTTATAAAAACCCCAAAAAAACGTAAATAAATACTTCATCATAATTTAGATTTTTTTGCTGTTGGGTTGGTGACAGGTTAAATCTAGATTTATAAATTTAAACTGCCACTTATCGTAAAAAAATCTTTTATCTTAAATTCACAATGAGCGACAGTTAAAAGAAGGTAAAAAGACTTTGGTATAGATACCAATCTAATAAATATCCCTAGACGTAATTGCAAAGTAAAGATGGCAAAAATTTGGTTATTTTTTAGTGATTTTTGTATGTGTCAATTTTGGTACGGAACAAAAACCCGTTTTAAGGTTTTTTGGGTGCTTTTCAGGTAATTATGTTTGATTTTAAACGATTTTCAACCATATTTTTAATATGTCCGCCACCTCTAGAGTGAGTTATGCCTATGTTGGTAACAGAAGTAACTAAATTGTGTCAACAATTCTGACAGGCGCAATAGATTTTGTATATTAGATATTCTAACCATATTTTTTCAGTACTGTTATTAAAAAAAAGCAATTGGATGTTAAAGTCGGGTTTACACAACTCAGTTTTTACAAATTTACATCGACCACTATGAATTGACTTCATTTTTGGGGTGGATAAAAATTAGTGATTTTTTAGCAATTTTTTTTCCTGTTTTTGGTCCTTTTTTAATATTTCCGCTCTGGTCCTGAAGTAACATTTTATATACTTCTTATACTGATAATAAAATGTACAAGTATTAGTATACAACACGTCTATTTTTTTTCTATATAAAATCTGAATAACTTATAAAACAAGTTGAAAGTTCCCAATTTCAATAAGTCTTTAATTTAAAGCGTTTTGGGGGCTACTATTTTAAATCAAATACCTATCCTACTCTCCTATATTATTAATATACAATATGATAATAATTATGATAATAATTAATCAAATTCTTCCGAATTTTGGCCATAGTCGTAGTCGTAATCCGCCTCTTCAATTTCGTCCTTCAGGGGGCATTCGCGACACCTTCAAACAAAAAAATATAGTTTTTTCCGGATTAAATTTAAATTAAGTTGGCAAAATTGAACTGAGAGCATTTGACAGTCATTGTTACCAACTTAATTTTAAAGTCATAGAACACTGAGCTGGACAAAACGGGGTACCTGCTCTCATTAATCCCATAATTGATACAGTGCTGTCCTATGCACTCGCAGCACCCGTCGTGGAACCATCGGTAGCTGGAAGCACCCATGGTCTGGCAGCCGGCCCTGCACTTGGTCAAACTCATACATTTTGACATGAAGGCAACGGTGCAATTGAGAGTTATGACATTTGTTTTAATGGGGGCCACCTCTTGCTCGGCACTTTCTGCAATAAAATCCACTCAAAAAAAAAAAATTCAATGAAAAAAACGTACGCATGTGAATTTTTATCTCCTTTTTGGGTCCATATTGACTCGTGTCGATATCAATGGGGAAAGTTGTGCTGTTCCAACGAAGTTCATTATCTGGGAATTCAGTTAAAGTGTTGAAGAGGGCAGGGACGGGCTCCATAAAATCCTCAACATTAGATTTCTTGTTGAGGGCGCCCTCAGTGTCGTTGGGTTTCGGGCACATATCTAAATTCAAAATGAATTGTCAAGTGTCAAGTGAAATTAAGTTGGCAACAAACTGTCAAATTCAGTGGGCTCGGTGTGGGGCAGTGATGCCAGATTAGGGAATTTTTCCCTAGTTCTAGGGAGTTTTCTCACAAAAAGGGATTTTTTTTCAATTTTTCTTAATAATCTAGAGGGATTTTTTACATTTTCAGTGAAAATCTCAATTTTTTTCACACTACTGACACAGTTTCAAAAATTACAAAAAATTTTAATATGAATATTGTAACTTCGCCAAGTTAGCGCATTTGTATATGAGTGTAGCACATAGTGACGCGGAAACCAAAAATGTATTTTCGGAAGTTGTGTAAAGACAAAATAGGCCTATAAAATAGTATCTTTTTAATTTTTTAAGTAGTTTAGGGAATTTAGAAGCTACAATCTAGGGACAAGCGCTTAATCTCATCTGGCATCACTGGTGTGGGGTAAATTGTGCTTGTGTTCATTCCCACACCAGAATTTTGGACGTCAAAATGTCATTCAAAAAATGTCAATGTAAGCCACCCTTTATTGTCATTATGAAATTTGGCAGTTTTAGTTGATTTTTTGACGAAACAATGCCAGCATACGTGTTTTTATGTAAGTTCAATAAATTATTTGGATTTGTTGCCATTTTTTCTCTATCAGGATAAAAATGATAAAAACCGAAAGTGAGGTTAGTTGCCTTAGGCCCGTTTTACACTTTTTGTCAGTCCAAAATTCCAGATTGACTTAACCTAAATTTTTKACACTTGTTACACTACAAACCAACTTAACCAAATTTATGGCAACCTATTCACGAATATCCCTAAATCCTAGGGAGTAATTTCTTGTTGATGCGATAATATCTCAGTGTTGCCAACTTAATGTCAAACTCACAGGCCACTTTGATTGACTTACCCACACAGGAGCAACACTCTGCATACAGGTAGCTGAGACAGTTGAAACAGTCTTTGCAACAAGTGCAGTTTTCGAAGGAGAAATCGCACTTGCAGGACTGCGTCAAGAGGCACTTGCTGACGATGCTCCCACACACCGCCTCATTGCACGTCTGGGCCTGGTGAACGAAGAAAAACCCCGCGACTAGCGTCGAAAAAACCACAATTTTCCACATGTTTACTCTGAAAAAATCACTTGTTGTGACTATCACTGATAGTAAAATTATCACAAGCGCCGCAATTTGTTTCAAAGTGTCAAAAATTAGTCGCAATCAAAAGATCAAAAGGTCCAAAATTGCGAAAACTTTTATCGAAACAAATGCTTGATCAGAAGTTGAGAATGTACCAATTAAGGGCAAAATTACAGTTTTTTCCCATTTTTTGTGTGTAATTTGTGAGAATTTGAGCCGCGTAATTGTTAATTTAGCCCGGGGGCAATTTAAATTAATCAAATGCGACGCAAGAAACGGAGTTGGTTAATCAAGTAGTTTAGGAATTGGGTTCTTACCAATCGTTGGGGCGCTTTTGGGACTGGAAAAATCACTGAAATGCACTAAAGTGGAGACAAATTTCGGGATAAACTTCTCTTCACAAACTTGTTTTGCTACTGAGCCCCACCGTTTTCTCGTCGCGGCAAGTTTGAAGCATGGTTCATGTCTACCTGGGTTCTGGGTTCTGTGAAGAAAGTTTTAATTCCAAGTCGTAGTAATGGGTTTTTGCAATTTGGGTTTTATGTTTTTTGTTGGAAAAATTTTTGTTAAAGAACCATTGATAAAGTCGTTCTCAAACGGAAACACGTAATTGGTTGGCTTGCCAGGTAAAACAGGTACTCAAGTCAGTCATGTGAAATCTGTGGAATGTGTCAGTGTTAGACCCAACGGCGACCACCTACCTCGTTTTATTGTTTTAGAGAGGGAGAGAAAATAGCATTATTTTCTAGGGAAATCAACCCTCAAGATTAGGTGGTCCAGGAGAAGACAAAATAGTCCAATTTTTTTGGGAGAAAAGTTGAATAAAATTCAATCATTACTTATCAGGTTTTTTCCAGTTTATGAAACGAAATAAAATAAATTCAGTGCATTCTTTGACTTATTAGAAAGTTATAATTCAGCTAAAAATAAGAGTCTAATTTTTGGGTCACTCGGTTTACCAAAATTAATCTTTCACTCAAATGAACTTCCAAATTTTATATTTTTTTTTATTAAAAAGTATAGAAATATTTTTTTATCTATACTTTTTTTCATATTAATGTGCATCAAGTAGGTTGTAGAAGCCTAAATGCATCTTTAATTTAAAGGCCGATTCACACAAAAAGTGTCAATAATGTCATTCAGAACAAATTTAATGACAAAAATCATAATTGAGCAAAAAATAATAGCCTAATTTTCGGGTCACTCAGTTTACCAAAATTAATCTTTCACTCAAATGAGCTCCATAATTTTATATTGTTTTTATTAAAAAGTACAGAAATATCCTATTTTATCTACAATTACATTGCTTTAATTTCCCATCAAAGTGACCTGTGACTTTAAAATTAAGTTGGCAACACTGAATTACCGGTGATATATTAGATATTTATTAGATTTTTCAAGTGGCGGCCATGTCAGCGGCCAATTGAATATAAAAGTGTGACGTTTGAATTTGATTGTCAGTGTTACCAATTTAATTTTCAAGGCGTAGGATACTCTGATCGGAGATTTATTTGAAAGCATGGCACCATGCCTTTAATTTTTCCTATCTTATAATTAAGTTTACATCACTGTATAATAAAAAAAAACAGAAATATCATATTTTATCTAAAATTGACTTTTTTAGAACTTGCTTTGAAGTTTATAATTTCTTATCAAAGTGACCCGTGACTTTGAAATTAATAAGTTGGAATCACTGAATTAGCGATGATATTATTACTGATACTTATTGACTATAAAAGTGTGACATATGAATTTGATAGTCCATGTTGTTAATAAAAAAAATATAAAATAAGATTTATTTTCCCTTTTCGACAATTGTAGATAAAATTTTGTATATCATACGTGGGCTACAGCAAATTACAGTAACTTGTGTCATTACTCCACACCTTTTTTCTTGGTGCCCATAAACATCAAAAATTAACAAAAATCAGAGAAACTACAGACTTTGGAAGGATTTTTCGTGTGCAATAAAGAAAAAAAATTGTTGAATTGTTATTAACCGGGGTTTTTTGGTCTGAATTACGCTATTTCAATGTCAAAAACCTCAAATTTTGTTATTTTAGAATCGACAAATTTCAAATCAACCGCCTTCGATGTCAAAGAATTCTCAATCGAGAGTCGTTTTTTGATTGGTTAGAGTCGAACAACGACAAAATAACCAATGAAATGTCGTTGATTTGACGCAAAAGTGGATGACGGGTAATTTACTCGTTTTGTGGCGTCTCTTAGTTTTTTATTTCTGAGGGTTTTTTGCGAGTTTTTCAAGTGTGAAGTGCCAAAGTGTTACGTATCTATAAAAATAAGTGATGCAAATTGCAAATGCTAAAAATACAAGTTTTTTTAAAAAGAACTTGACACGACTGATAAAAACACGTTAAGGTTTTTAATACTTTGTAGTGTTTATTCATTCCTGAAACTGAATTTACTGATTTGAACTAAACTTTTCTAATTCGACGCTCATCGAAGGCGGCTGGAAAACAATGAAAGAAGTGTTGAGTTGTTATCAGTGATAAACCATCGAAGTGTCTCATGACTTTGAAATTAAGTTGGCAATATGAACTATCAAACTCAAACGTTTCATTTACGACGGGCGACCGCTGGCATGGCCGTCACCTGACACAATTGATATCACCAATAACTCGGTGTTGCCAACTTAATTTCAGTCACAGTTTTACACTGTTACCGGTAAGTACCAATTCGTTAATTAATAAACTTTCAGCTTTTGAAAAACGTTTATTTATCTTGTCTCACTATCTACAATAGTTTCAAATTTTGGGCGCAGACGCATTAGTCTCAGATTTGGTCTCAGTTGGCTTAGTATCCCCCGCATCCTTCCTCACCGACTCCTCAAACTCTGCAGGTTCGATCAAATGTTTGGCCCCAAAGGGCGGAGGCCCTAACAAATTCTCAACATCGTCGTAGTTTAAAGTCTCCTTCTTCAGCAAAGTCTCTGCAAGCTACAAAACCGTTACCTATAACCCCCCTAAAATCCCCACTCACCAATTCTAATTTTTCTTTGTTTTTCAATAAAACCTCCTCTGTGCGTTTATAAGCCCTACGAACCAATCTCCTCGCCTCAATGTCAATCAAATTCGCCAATTTTTTACTATAGGGCCTGCGCCCTTGCGACTCCTCCTGCGGGAACGACAACAAACCTACATTTTCGCTCATCCCGAACTCCTTGATTTGTGCATAGGCCATTTTGGTGACCTTCTCCAAGTCGTTTTGGGCCCCCGTGGTGATCCGGTTGAAAATCAAAGACTCTGCCACTCGGCCCCCGAGAGTCATACACATCCTCTCGAATAACTCTTCTTTGGTGTACAATTTTTGGTCCCGAGGGATGTACTGGGCGAAACCCAGGGCTAGGTTTGTCCTTGGGACTATTGTGACCTTCAAAAGGGCATCAGTGTGTTCCAACATCCAGCCAACTAAGGCATGCCCAGATTCATGGTAGGCAACAATGCGTTTTTCATCAGGGGACATGGCATGGTTGCGTTTTTCAGTACCCCCTGAAACACACAGTTAGGGAAATAAATTACTGAAATGGTGGTAAAACTATACCAACGAGACGTTCAACGGCATATTCCAAATTTTCCCGCGTCACATGCTTTTGTTTCAATCGGGCTGCATGCAATGCCGCCTCGTTGCAAACATTAGCGATATCAGCGCCACTAAAACCCGGTGTCAAATGAGCCAACCTTTTCGAATAAAATTCAGGTTCATTTTCCAAAGCTATACTTTTTAAATGTAGCTCAAAAATTTGTTTTCGTTCCACTAAATCAGGCAAATCGATTAAAATGTGTCTATCGAAGCGTCCAGGCCGTAGTAGAGCCTAAATTTAACAATTATTTTTTTTAGTTATTTTTTGTTTCATAGTTGGTACCCTGTCCAAAATGTCGGCCCTGTTGGTAGACGCAAGCATAACCACACTTTCCTTACTCGCCATTCCATCCATTTCGACTAAAAGTTGGTTTAGAGTTTGTTCACTTTCCCCAGTGGCGCCCCCTTGACCCAACTGTCCGCTTCGTTTCCGCCCTACTGCGTCGATTTCGTCGATGTAGATTATACAAGGGGCCCGTTTGCGGGCCTCTTTGAACAAATCTCTTACTCTGGCAGCCCCCAAGCCCCCAATCATCTCGATAAACTCGGAGCCGTTCATTGATAGGAAAGGCACGTTGGCTTCAGTGGCCACCGCTTTGGCTAATAGGGTTTTGCCACAGCCTGGGGGACCTAAAAGTAGAGCCCCTTTGGGGACTTTTGCCCCCAGACTCTTGTAAATTTCGGGCCTTTTGAGGTAATCGACAAACTCCATTACTTCCAGTTTGGCTTCCCTCAAGCCTGCCACGTCGGAGAAGTGCACCCCCTTGCCCGGGCCGGTGAGGGGGTCGACTAGGGTGAACTTGGCACGTCCCAATTGCGTCTGAAATTGGGAAATTTTTTAAGTCTCTAAAACCCCTAGAAATGTAAAAAACGTTATATTGATCAAGTTGATTATTTTTAAATTTTTGTCGATTTTTGGCACCGGGAGCCAAACTCCGGACTTATTAGTGATAACCTCTTTTGTTTAGAAATTTCATTTTCTATCATATACAAAAAAGATCAGTCTTCTACGATAAATAGTTATCGAGAAAATTTCTGATAAAGTCAAAAATATCGAAAATGTAAATTCGGCTATAACTGCAAAACTGTTACGAATTTTGCAGTTTTCTTGACGCCAATCGATTCCCCGGAACATTTTACATACATTAAGGTACAATTTTTTCGCAATTTACAAATTAAAAAAAAGTAAAAACCACGGATAATAATTTTTATACAGGAACCAAGCGTTTTTTTTAATCATTTGCCTTCAAAAAATAATAATTAATATAAATTAAATATAAAAAAAAGTAATCGTATTTTGTATTGTTTTTGAGTTATGCGATTTTTTTTGTCAAAATTGCAATTTATGTAAACATTTTTTTTTGAAAAAATGAAATATAAAGTAGATAGTTGTAATCCTTACATCATAACCTTTATGAGAAAAATGGTTTTACAGTGGGTTGGCATTTAAAAAAATAAAAAACGTTTTTCTACTTTGCGTTCGTAGTAAGGTCCATTACGAAACTGTTTTGGATTTCGTAATGAACAAAAACAGTGCTATAAAAATTATACTAAAAAGAGGGAAATTTAGTCTTATAATGTTGGTGACCTAACCGTTTTTCCATCGAACTGTCAGTGTCAATCAGTCTAACGCAAATTAAATTATTCAAATACGAAATTTTTGCTGTGTTTGGTTTAATTAATCATCGCAAAAAATATTCCGAATGAACATGATTATAGTGGTACTTACGCATACCTTTAGATCATAGAAAGTAAAATAAAAGGTACTTACTGTTACTTTTGAGACTTTTGTGGTTAGGTAGGTTTTGCCGTCAACTTACTTCATTTTTACGAATAAAATAATGACAGCCACCTAGCCACCACGCAATGTCGCCAACTGCCGCAAAATTCCCTACATTCCAAAATTTTTATTTTTTTGTTTAAAAAAGTGCAAAGTAGAAAAATATATCTCGATTATAAGGCATTTTGTCGCACTTACTGCTTTAACACGTGCGTGCGACAAAATGCTTCTTATAAAACTCGTATCATAATATACTATTTTAGAACTCAAAAACAAAAGAGGATTTCAAAAAATTTATTTTTTATAAAACATAAACTTGACCAAATAACGTTTTATGCACTTTTTGAGTCTTTAAGACCTCTAGAAATGTAAAATACGTTATAGGGATCGACTTTAAAGTTGAATTTTTTTTGATTTTTGTCGAGATTTTGGTCGATTTTTGGCACCCGGAGCGGTCTAATGGCAATAACTCCGGACTTATTGGTGATAACCTCTTATGTTTGGTACCGTTAGAAAGAAAATTTAATTTTCTATCATATACAAAAAAGATCAGTGTTCTACGATAAATAGTTATCGAGATAAAGTCAAAAATATCGAAAATAGAAATTCGACTATAACTTCAAAACTATTAGGAATTTTGCAGTTTTCTTGACGCCAATCGATTCCCCAGAGCATTTTACATATGTTTACGTCGAGATATTATATCATTGAGATATAGTTTTGCCGCAATTTACAAAATAAAAAAAGGAAAAATTTGTGTCAGTTTTTCGTAAAAAAATGTAGATTTTTTGTTCGCAATCGGATTTAGTAGATTTTCCAGTATTGTAAGGTAAGTGGTTGGGGGGCTTACAAATGTGTCCATGCTGATCGGGGGGCGTATGCTCTTGCTCCGTGCGAGAAGGGAGATGAGGATTGCGACGATTAGGAGCGAGATGAGGAGTTTCCCGGCTGTGTCTGTCCCGCGCTCAAATGTGACAGGGATTCCGTCTTGGATCCCCAACCGACGTTCAGCCTCCCTTAATTTATCCTCGAATTTATTAACATCGACCACATTCATGTGATACGTCCTGTTATCAACCTAAAAATTCATCGTTAAAACATTATTTGATATTGACTCTTCGGTCACTTTTTTCCCTTTGATAATCGCCCCTTCGTGTAAAATAATCGTGACAATTTCAATATCAGGCCTCACGATTATTTCTTCCACTTCTCCTTTGGCCAACATTTGGTACAAAAATTCGTTCCAAGAGACATATCGCACGACCTAAAAACGCATTTTTGGGGCTGTTTTCACAAATTTGGGGATCACCTCAGGCTGACTACTACTCGGAAACATCAGAGAAATTATTGCTATGACCATGTAGGCTGTAAGCATCCACAAAAAAGCCTTGGCCAACAATGACGAAATCTTGTCTTTATCGTCATCATCGTTTGGTTTGTTTTTATCACCTCCAGGTTTGCCCCCTGACGACTGCTGGGGATGCCCCACAGACGAATGGAACTGTCTTTTGTCCAAATAGTACGGTAAATGGGACAAATTTTGCAAACCTGATCTATGAAGGAGTGCACAAACTGCAGAGTACTCCCTCGACACACCTCTAATTAACTAAAATCAATCAAATATGAAACAAGAATCAAAATTATCAACCAAGACTCACTCTAGGGTCTAACCTAAAATGTGTTTTCAACCCATTATCAGCAAGGTTTAGGACTTTCCTTGAAAACGAGAATTTGCATACAGCCTTCAGTGGCGCACTGTATTTATGTAATTGGCTATACATTTTTGTATTTTTTCATTTTGGCAAAATTTGAGGTTACATAAACGTCAAAAAGTGACAGTAGTTTCCTTTTTTATCTACACTGGATGTTATCTATTACCTACTAACAACTAGCATGATCAAAAATAAGCATTAAAGTTTACTGTAATTGGGATTAAACTAAACCTACAAATTTTATTTTATTATTTCCTACAAGCAATATTATGAAATAAATGATTGAGATTACAGAAATGTCATAAAGTAACAATAGTTCTCTTTTTTATCGACGCAGTAGCCACAAATTGTGCTACCATCTATCAGCAACTAGAATAATCAGGAATAAGCCTTGAAGGTTTCTGTGATGGGGATTGAGTTGTCGCTAGATGACAGATCTTAAATTAAATCTAAGAATTTTATTATTTGATGTTATATTTATTGTGTTCTATGATCAGTCGTGGAATAAATGATTGTTGTTTTTGAAATTTGTGAGGTTGGTATTTGGTATTACTAGTGACATAAAAAATACCATGGTTTCTACCAACCCTAATTCTCAAAATTACTATTGTATTTAAATTCGGGTGTTGGTGGTTAAAAAAAGACACTATTGTGGAACAGCAGTTTTATTTATAAACAGTGTTAAATATTTGCCGAAAAAAGCTAAAAGATCACAAATCTTGTTTGAAAAATTCAGTAGACGCTTGTCAAGCCCATCATTTTGTTGAGAAAACATTCGTTAATGAAGTTGACAGCTCGTTACTCGCCCAAGAGCGTAAAAGACTTCTTATTGTCGTGGTATTTCAAGTATTGTCCATCTGGCTAAGAGAGACAACTATATAAGACATAACGTCCCCCATTATTATTTTAAGCGGTGATAACTGGACAATGGAGGGGCACTGCAATAATATTGACGTGATATGTGAAGTGGATAGAACGGAGTTCCACCGTTGGGTTCGGCCCCGGGTATTGTTATGAAGTCGTCCCTATTGGTTCGTGTCGCCATATTGACGACTAGACGCATTGTTGAAATGCTCCCGGATCCGCCACTGTAACATAAAGTACGTTTCTTTAACAATGAACTGTTTTTTAGACTTGGGGGAATGAAAAAATGCAGAGCTTGGCTTTGCTTCACATCGATTTGATGAAAAAAGTGACATGAAAATAAATCAATGAAATAGTAGTAATAATAAAAATGTAGATCAAAGTTTGCAAGGACTCTGTTAAAAAAATATACAGGTGTCTCAGAACTCGCACCCCTGTCTTAGTTTTTGTGTAATAATTTTTTTAAAAGTGCTTGTTTTTGTCAAAAAAAAGCGTCTTATTTTTAAAACTAAGCAAAATTTATTGTCATAAAAATCCACATCCACCTCCAATTACTTTTTCGGAATCTACAGGTTTATTCATAAATATGAAGCAATATTTGAACCTCAAAAATGACCAATAAAATGATGTTAATTTAAATAATAACTCGTGTCCTATCTCTACTGATTAGAATTTTACAGCTCTTGGAATGTGGGTATGGAAATTTGATTTTTTTGTAATAACTTTAGAACTATTTGACCAAATATTATAAAATTTGGAACATTTTCTTGAACATACCTTTTGAACTCGTAATCACGAAAACCGGATACATCCACGCAATTTCCGGTTCCAGCAGTTGCAGGTCACATTTTCTGTGTTTTTCCATTTTTTTGCTCTCTTAACACCAATTTTTTATTGCCCAAATCGATAGAGTAATCAATTTTGATTAAAAAATTCATAACTTTTAATACCCCTAAAATGGACCGTTTCAAAGATATTTTAATTTAAACTGAGGACTGCACAACGCTGAAATCAAAAAATATGGATTTTGAATCAATGATATCCACGACAACAAATGACCATGGTCCCACAAATCGCTGTCAAGCATCTGTCAACTTTCACATTGGACGATTCTTGGGCGATTAATTGAAAGTATTTAATAAAAGAGTTTACTTCAGACTCCAATAAATCCAAATCGATCTCGTAGCATTTAATTTATAAAAAATTCACAAAAATTTATCATCAAAGTTAACAGATGCCCGGTAGGGATTTTTGTGACCATGGTCATTGGTTGCCGTAGTTACCACTTATTCAAAATCCCTATTTTTTGGTTTCAGCGTTGTGCAGTCCTCAGTTTAAATTAAAATATCCTTGAAACGGTCCATTTTAGAGGTATACAAGGTTATGCGTTTTTTAATCGAAATTGATTACTCTTTAGATTTAAGCAATAAAAAATTGGTGTTAAGGGAGCAAAAAAATGGAAAAACACAGAAATTGAGTAGATGTATCCGGTTTTCGTAATTACCAGTTCAAAGGATATGTTGTCACAAGGAAATGTTCCAAATTTTATAATATTTGGTCAAATAGTTCTAAAGTTACAACAAAAAAATCAAATTTCCATACTCACATTCCGAGGGCTGTAAAATTCTTATCAGTAGAGACAGGACACGAGTTGTTATTTAAATTAACATCATTTTATGGGTCATTTTTGAGGTTCAAATATTGCTTCATATTTAAGAATAACCCTGTATAATATGAGGGCAAAATTATCAAATGCCCGTTGCGTACACTTAAAATATGCTACTTTAAGAGCTAAATATCAAAAACTTAAACATGCGCAAAATAGGCATTTTTTTGATTGGCCTATTCGCATATTGTTTTAATGTGTTTTGTGCACATCTTAAATTAACAAAAAATATTCCTACAAATAATAAATACAGGGTCGCTAAAAAGTGTGGATACAGTTAAATATTATAAAAACTTTTTGAAATTTGTTACATGCTTAAAAGTATTGTTCCAGATATTTATCAAATTTCTATCTCTATTTGCTCTGGGGGATACAAAACAAACTTGATTATTTTAAATGGCAAGAAGGGTCAAATTTAATATTTTTGAGGAGAGCATTTTTTTCTGACTTTTGTGATGTAACACATCCATACCTTATTTTAATCAAAACTTAAAAAAAAATATCGAATTGATATAATTTTTAAAAATGTAAAATTTTGTTAGCCTTGGAAATGTTGTCTTTATCTATCGTTAGTTCTTTGCCGCCTAAATTTTGACCAAAATAATTGTTAAAATAACATTTATTTTAACTGAAAAAGAACACATTTTAATTAAAAAAAAGCTTAAACACGAAACACATAATTTTTATGTTCAATTCCATTTTTCTTTTTTTTACCTGTTACATCGCAGAATTCAGAAAAAATGCTTTTTTAAATACCTAATTTTGTATACCTACCTTACGTGCTATTAAAAAAAATCAAGTTAAATAAATGATGGTAGAAAATGAAAAAAGATCTCAGATGATAGAATTTGAAGAAATTTCAACGGGCTCTGGAAAATATTTAGCTGCATCCATACTTTTTAGCCACCCTGTATAGGTAATTTGCATAAAATCCGAAGTTTATAGATAAGCAACGTTTTTCAAGTGTTTCTTTCCCTTAACCTCGTTAAAATATTCCATCTGGTAGATATCGTGGTTGTCGTCTGTTTAATTCGTATCTTGTGAAAGCCCTCGCGTATTGCACACCCAATTTGAAAGTAGGAAAGAGGATCTGTGGCGGATGCGGCTGGGAAATAGAATAGAATTAAGAGGTTTTATCTGCGAGTCGAATGAGAGATCGCGCGGTTGGATGGTTAATTCCGGGGGCTCTAAATAAACACTGCTCACACGGAGGCTGAAGCTCAGGAGTGGCAACTCCCCAGACCCCTCTTACACAAACATACGGCGCTAATGCCACTCTCTATTTGCAATGCAATTTGCCCCACAGAAATTACAATTAACAACCGAAAGCCGAGTGCGCTTCAGTTCACTCCAACTCGCTGATGGCTCTGTGTTTCACCACAAATTCAACACTATTTTCGACAAAGTGAGTGACGGTCTTTTCACTTGGAAATTTTAATAAAAAAAGTTTGCAGTTTCGTAAAAAATCGACTAAGAAAATTTATAAAAACGGAGACGAAAAGTGTGAGAAATCAGAAAATGACCACGCATTTATAATGTAGGTTTGCTAATATGTATTCTCTAATTTTTAGCAAGAAATTGACTAGAATGCGAAATAAACAAGAATTGGAAAAAATGCAATTAAATTAGTTTTTGAGAAACGAAAAAGTAACAATTTTGAAACTAAAACTAGCATAAACCACATTAAAATAAACTAAAAGTTTTTCAGGACAAAATTCAAGATCTTGAAACGAAACATTTTTAGTTTTAAAATTAGAATTCAAAGTTGCAACTAAGACAAATTGGGAATAATAGTCTTAGACAAATTTTGTATCAATTTAATGCCAAATTCTAAGCTTTACATTGGCAATTCTCATCTAAAAAATCAAAAATTTTCTTTCGTTGAACTTAAAAAAAGTCAAAAGTCGAGGAGCACTAATTACTGATTTGTAAATCGAAATTCAGAGTTTACTAAAGAATTCTGACTGTAAAAGTAAAAATTCAAAAAATTTAATAACGAATTGTGCTTCTGGAATTTGGTAAATTTAAGTTTCAAAAAAAAAATTGAGTTTAAAGACTGAAATTTCGAGGCCTAGAAAGCAGATTTTTAAATTTTAAAATGAAGATACCTAACAGTTTTTCAAGAGAAAATTTAAGATCTTGAAAAGAAAAATTTGACAACAAAGAATCTAAAGAATCTCTTTTTTGAATATCAAAATTAGCTAACAAAAATAATTTTCTCGAAAGTTTCAATGTGTTTTTAATATTCAAAGAATAGATGAAAACGCTTATAAAGTAAAATTTTGATTAAGGACGGCAGATTTTAATGAGTCTAGAATTAAAATCTTGAGTTTTAACCAAAAGCTGGCTAATATTTAGAAATGCAAAGTTCAATACAAGATTCTTAGATTTCGAAGTGAAATTCAAAGTTGCATCTAAGAGAAATTGGGGAAAAAAATGTTATTGTGGACAAATTTAGTGGCAAGTTATAAATGAAAAAATGTTTACCTTTTTTGTCAAAATTTTGGAATCTAATGCCAAATTCTAAGCTTTAAATTAAAAAATATTTTTTTTAAACTTTAAAAACGAATTTTAAAAGTCAAAAGACACTAATTACCGATTTATAAATCGGAATTTAAAGTTTACTAAAAAATTCTAACTGTAAATCAGATTTGAAAGAGGAAATTTTAAGTTGGAAAGCGGAAATTTATTACATTCAAATATAAGCTAAAGTTTTACAAAGGAGGATTTGTGTTTTTCTCTGCGTTGAAATTAAAAAAAATATATTTTTTACTCAATGTTAAAGAGTGCTTTTATTACCTAATTTCAGTAGATAAAGTAGACTTTTATCGTCTTGTGAAATAAAGTAATTTTTATCTACTGTTTATTTTCAAGAGATTCTGGTAAATTTATTGTAAATCTTTAAAAATGGACCAATTTTTTTATATTTGAAATTTGTAATCATTTGTAATCCAGAATTCGTGCTATATGAGAACAAGTATTCGTGATTTACAGCAAATTTTTTACGTAATTAAAATCACTAATTGAATAATTTATAATTTGTCAAAAAATTAAATCTCCTGGACTAGAACCTGAATAGTGAACTAAATGAGGATTTTTCCTTGGTGATTTAAGTTCATTAGTGTCATCGACAGAGTAAATTAAAACTACTCTATTTTCGCATTGTAAAAGGTTAAATATATCCGCCCTCTGTGTTGTCATCTATCTCTCGTTTGGACTGACATGCACTAATTTAATTTTAGACGGGGCATTTGCGTTGACGCATCGCAACTGTTGTTTTAAGGGTTCCCCACACACAGAACTATTTTTTCACAATTTGCACGCATTATTATTGTGGCACAAAATTTGGCAATTAGACAATTCGGTGCCAAACAGGATGTGAAAAATTATTATTATAATAACGGCAAGATTTGGCTTTTCAGAGCGACAAATGCTCACTTTGAATAGAAAACACCCGCATTTATCTCTCTATCCATTTCATTCAATTTCCTGCAGGCTTTTGTCCTATCGCTCGTGAAAGGATTAAGTAAATCCTGCATATTAATATAGGAGGCGATA